TGGAGGAGAGATAAGGGAGCCTTTGGCATCTTGCTGGCTGGAGAACTGGCCCAGCCCACTGACATGGTGGCGCCAGAGCTGACACCAGCTGTCAGTTGGTCTCAAATAGAAAGAAACCCTGGGTGGCCTGGCTTCTCTAGCTGGTGGCTCTGGGTGCTCAGAGGAGTGCCTGGCACCCATCACATTTGGTAGGGACCACAGCCTCTCTGTTATGACCCAGGGTGAGCAAATGCTTCTTTCCTACAGTCTTTTGATGCTTCTTTCTTTCTTTCTTTCTTTCTTTCTTTCTTTCTTTCTTTCTTTCTCTCTCTCTCTCTCTCTCTCTCTCTTTTTGTGAGACAAGGCAGAGGACACTTCAGTGAGTGGGAGTGGTACCTCCTGAACCTCAGGTGAGGTGCAGTTTTGTGGAAGCTCAGGAAAGCAAACACAGGTGCTCATAATGAGGAGGGATGTGGGAAAAGGGCCAGGAGGCTTCCCATCCCCCAGACTGTAGGGGGAGGGCTGTGTGGGGCGGAGAAGCCCATCCATTCCTGGTACTTCACTTGGGGATGCCTTCATCCTCTTGCTGAGGTTAGTTTGCAAACAGGCAGCCATGTAGGGTGGAAAGGTTTATGAGAAAATAAAAATATCAAAATCAAGGATTGTGGGACATCTATGATCCTAGCACTTGGGAGGTGGTGGCAGGAGGATCAGAAGTTTAAGGTCATCCTTGGCTTCCTGGAAAAATCAGAACCTGTTTCAGCTACCCGAGACCCTTGCCTTAAAAACAATAAAACAAACAAACCCCACAGCTGGTGGCCACGACTGTAACAGTGAAGCGAGAGGTCATTCTCTGCCCCCTGAGTGCCTGACTACTCCCCGCTGCCTACTTTTCCCCATGGGACCTATTTGACTTAACCTCTGCTTAGATATCTCACTGAGAAAACAAATCTCCCCTCTTGAGACTGCCCTTTTCAGAAGAATGTCTCTGTCTTGGGAGCCTGGATCACATAACTCCCTGTCTCTCTGGGCCTTTGTTTTAGCATGCCATGTCACACAGGTTGTGTCCCAGATCTGCTAATGGAAGGCTTCACCTTGCTGGGGGCTGATTCTGCACAGGGCAGGGCCTGCTGGTGCCCAGGGGGTGGAAGATGGACTGGGTCTCTTACTTTGTCTATCAGCTGGACTGATGGGGGCTTCCCCACCTCCTCTGAGTTCTGGTTGCTGCTGTAGGTCTCTGGCCCTTTGTCCCCTTCTCAGGGGACAATAAGTATCAGGCAGTGGTAGTGCTTGCACCATCCATTCAGGAATCCATCCATCCATTCTGTGGCAATAAGCCTGGCAATGAGGGAGTGTGTGTGTGTGTGGGTCCACAGAGGATCTGTGTGGAGGAGAAACTTAGTTATGCAGAGTGGAAGGCTGAGCCTTTCCTCTGTTGGCTTTGCCTGTAGCCTGATAAATGCTGCTTCTTTGGCAAAACCCTACAAGAACTGTTCCCACTGTTAATCCTCTGGCCTCAGTTAGACATCCAGGCCCTGCCTGGTCACCTTTCCTTGCCCAGCATGATACAGATGGAAGGAGTCCAGGTAGGACAAACTCCTTCCTTACCTATAGCCATTTTTCTTGCTCTACTTGGAGTTACAGGGGCAAAGGGTCCTTTGGATAAGGGGCATCTTTCTGGGACACAAGCTCTGTCTACACTGGTCCTTTAGTTCTTGGCTCATTCATACCTGCCATAGCCACACACCTGGGTCAGTCCTGTATCTTGAACCTCATCTTCACTGACCTCCAAGTACCATCTTTTTATCTATAGTCCTTTGCCCTTGAGTAGGGCCCAGCTGCCCTGAGGACATGCCCAGCACAACTTCCATAAGGAAAGCTCTAGAGACCCTGCAGGTCACCTGACATCCTCCTCAGAACATCATTTGCCCTCATGGCAGAGGGCTGTATGGGAATTCTTACTGTAGAGGTGGTGTGAAGGGCCTTGAAGCCCATGTGGAGGGCTCCATCACTGACGAGTTAGAACTGGGGTGGTTGGTGGTAGGAAATGAGGCAGGACTCATGGAGGCAGGAAAGGCTGGAGTTGGTGTTTTATGGAGGATGCACTGCCATCCATGAGTCTCCTTTTGAACTTTTTTCAGCTCCAGTAGCAGCCTGGAGAGCTGGAGTTATAAACTGAGCTAAGGCCCTTCTCTCCTCCCCTACTCAAAGCCTCGGAGCCCAGCCAGTCCCGAGGGTTCACCCCACTTCCCCACAGTGCCCTAAGGCTGAGCAGGATTTTGTGAGAGACTGTGGCTATGGTTTTGGAGGTGGGTGTCCAGGTGCATTCGGTCTTTTTTTGGGGGGGGGGTTGTGTGTCTGTGAACCGTGCTGTGGTCTGCATGCATCCACTTGGGAACACTGATAGATTCCTACTGTGGGCTTTCTGAGGACAACAGCAGCACGTGCTGTCTAGTAAAGGTTGTTAGGTCCCTTCCAGAAGTGCGGAAGGACCCAGCCTGGGGCCCAAGGACCCGCTTCCTTCCCCTGCAGCTCCACATTTTACCAGTTGTGTGGGTGAAGCCATACACCTTCTGACTTTCAGCATAGGTTAACTCACTTCCTGTAGACTGAGTCCCTTGCCTACTCTGTGGGTCTCACTTGGGTCTTTCTAGGTCCCGGACTCGGGTTCTGCCCCTTGTTGCCTGCAGGCTTCCGCCCCTTCTGCTGGGACCGACACCTCCCAGGCAGATGCCCTGGCACAGCAAACAGGCAGCTGTGGACTTTGAGCCTGGGCCATGGCAGCGAGAAGGCGTTTCCCGGCACAGACTGCTCTGACCTTTGCAGCACCCCAAATGCAGATGGAATGGAAGGCTCGCCTTGGCAGTTGGGTGCGGGTGGGTTGGGGCGGGAGGGTGAGGGTCCTCCCTGAGAGGTGGTGCATGGCACAGCCTGTAACAGGTGGTGACTCACTGCTCACCCAGCCATAAAGTCAGGGTGATAGCTCATCACCCCAGCTGTGCTCCCTAGAGTTCCCATGTCCCCTATCCCTCCCTGCAGCCGAGCCCAGTGGGTCTTCCACAGAGGACAGTGGGTTGGCTCTGAGCCATAACATGGACCTGTACCCCTTACCATCCACCTGCTACTTCCGGAGAAATTGAGTCCGAGGGCTGTGGGGCTGTTCCTGGTACATGGTACATGGGCTCATTCACAGGCTGGGAGTACAGCCTGGGTGCAGAGTTCTGCTGAGGTACGGCCTACTAAACAGTTCCCAGGAGACAGTGGCCTCTCATCCTCTGGGGAACTGCTCACAGATCTAAGAAAGCTGACCTTGCTGCCTGGCTTGAGCCATGTGTCTTTTCTGTTGACACTAGGGCAGGTAGAGGGAAATCTGTGCTCACAGTGGAGCATGGGCCAGGCCAACACCTCATAAGTTGCCGTAGGGGTGGGTGTGCTCTGGTGATTCTTGTCAGCCTCTTGTTAACTAAATAACTGGTATGCCTGTGAAGGGATTCTCTAGAGCAGCAGTTCTCAACCTGGGAGTAGCCATTCCTTTGGTGGGGTTGAATGACCCTTTCACAGGGGTCACATAAGACCATCAAAAAGCACGGATATTTAAATTAACTTAGGTTACAATACCTAGGTTAAATTTACATATTTAAATTACGGTTACAGTTCATAACAGTAGCAAAATTACAGTTATGAAATTGTAGTGATGAAAAATAATTTTACAGTTGCGGGTATACTGATCTAGAGAGTTCCAAGGGCCTGGGGCCTTTATGTAGACTTAATCTCCTGCCTGAAGTGGTGTTACACTTACACACCCGCAATCCCACTCCTGGGGTGGCCGAAGCAGTAGGATCATAGGTTCCAGACCAGCCTGGGCTACATGGAGAAAAGCTTGTCTCTAGGACATTTTAATCTTTGTCCCTGCCCTGACATCCAGCCTTGAGGCCCGCCTTTGTGTTGCTTACTCTCCAGCCCAGCTTAGGCAATGCCCCCTGGTGTGTCCTGTGAAGGCTGGCTAGGCCCTGGGAGATGTCTTTCCCCCACTTAGAGCTCCTTGCAGCCTCTGCCCCTGGCTGATCTGATATTATCTGTTTTTCTCCATGTCTTAAACATAGTCACACCTTTGTGACCGGTTAGCAAGTTCCAGGATATCTGGAGAACAATTATTCTATCTATAAGAAGGTGTTGCTGTTGTCCCCATTTTATAGATGAGGACTTTAGAGGCCACAGACTGGCTCTGCAACTTTTCCCCAGAATCAGGCATTGGAACTCGGAAGCATAATTAAACTAAAGATTCTCAACCCCATCCGATAGCACACTCACCACAAGGTCACTTGCCTTTTCTGGGGATTCTTAGAATGGGAACCAAGGCACAGGAAAGGCAGTGACCTATCTAAGGTCATGCTGGGTGGGACCCCAAGCCTTGTTGCTGGCTCCTGAAGGTCTGAGTGGGCACTCCTGGCATCTCAGGATATGTGGATGTCTATCTGCAGCCTTGCTTTAGCTCCAAGATTCTGAGGACCAGGTTGCAGATGTGTGTGTGTGTGTGTGTGTGTGTGTGTGTGTGTGTATGTGTGTTGTAACATTGGAGAGTTAAGATGCTTCCATCCTGTAGGCCAGAAGACTGATTGCTGAGTTCAGCTTGCTGATGAAACAATCTTGAGGGTGACTGGGTATGTTACCAGGAGTGTGGGCAAACTGATAACAGCTTCACAGGCAGGGAAACTGAGGCTAATTAGATCTCTAGAGTGAGGGACCTTTATAGGAACGCTGGCCGTGGCCTTTGTGCAGAGTACCAGGGGCCTGGGCTCACTTCCTTCCCCTAAAGCAAGTTCCGGGAGATGTCGGCTGGCATGGAAAACCAGCAGACTAAATATAGCCATGGAACTTCCCGGAACACATTATTCTGAATGTCTAATAATTAATGTTCAACAGTAGCATCTTCCAGAAAGCTGAGTCCACTCTGCATATTCAGTTGATTGGTAGGGGTTCTTTCCAGCTCCCAAGCATTACCCGAGAGGCACCTGGAGTTCCTAGAGCCTTTGACAGATGTCAAGGGCCAGACATACTGGTGAGTAGTTCTCAGCCCAGAGTGTCAGGATGGTGGGCCAAGTTGGCACCCACCTGTTGGAGCTGCCTTCCTTGGGTCCCTAGGAGGCCGTAGCCCCTGGAGTGGGTGGGGAGATCTGTGCCAGACATGGCCATCTCCAGAAGCCCTTCCTGCCTGCCTTGGCCCAAGCACCTTCATGTTAGCCCAGCCACTCTCTGGTGATGGTCCCTTCTCATCCTCCTGAGCAGATGAGAGTAGGTTAAGTCCCCGAGGGGCTCTTTTGCCCCCTGGGAAGGAGACAAGTCTGAGATATTGGCTGAGCACCTGAGAGAACACATAGGAAAAAGAGTTTGAGGGAGGGGTGCAGATTCAAGGACTCTGGCAGCTGAAGCCAAGAGGACTCCCTCCATGCTTGCTGGCTTCCCTCATGCCTAGGCCAAGCTTGACTCTGGGCTGGGCTTTCTTTATGAAAACCATCCCGGCTATGAGCCCCCTACAGGTCTTGCAGAGATGACCTAAGTGGCTGTGCAGAAAGGAAGCCCAGTTTTGGCTCTGGATGAGGCTCAGATGTCCTGCCCCTATAGGACTGACTACCGGAATTAGTCTACAGACTCTCTGCTCTCACCCCCTCCTCTCTGCAGGGAGGGGAGGTGGTGGCTACTCCATGGTCAGCCTGGGTAACTCTACATAGAGGGACAGCTCTGGTCTTGTTTGCACCTTGCAGATCTCCAGTGCTCTCCGAAAAGTTGGAGCCCTCCTCTTGGACGATGTTCCTGATGGCCACCCTAAAGTGAGGTGAATCAGCATATATCTGGCGCGGTTGGAGATGACAGTGCAGGATGGAGCTTGGGGTGCTCTTATCTCACCCCTCAGGCAGGGTCCTCACTCCTGTTACTCCTTACTGTTAGGTCAGCTAGACAACGGTGCTCTGAGCCGCCTTTCCTGTGGTCCCTCTGGGTCTACATCAGTTGGTAGCGGATTGGTAGTGTCTAGTGTGTGATGGGCACCCCCTGGTGGCCAGACTGAACACATCACTGTGTGTGTGGGGTCCTCCCAGAGAGTTTAGCGAGACAAGCTTGTTACCAGGAGGTCCCTGCAGCTGGCCAGCCACTAGGCTTTAGGCCCTAGGCTCATGGGCTTCTAGTCCCATTGTGAGTTTGAGAACAGGTTTCACAACAGCACTTGAACATGGAAGAAGACAGAAGGGCCATGTTTCTCCTTCCCCTCCTTCCTTCCTTCCTTCCTTCCTTCCTTCCTTCCTTCCTTCCTTCCTTCCTTCCTTCCTTCTTTCTTTTCTTTTTTATTCTTCTCTTGTACATTACATCCCAGATGCAGTTTCTCCCCTTTCTGTTCCTCCACACAACTATAATGTATATGCAGAGGACCTAGCTCAAACCCATACAGGGTTTGTCTGTGTTGCACCAGTTTCTATGAGCGCCTATGAGCCCTGCTTAGTTGGTTCTGTGGGTTGTGTTCTTGCAGTATTCTGACCCCTCTGGCTCCTGCAGTCCTTTCTCTTCCTCTTCTGTGGGGTTCCCCTGCCTTTGTCTAGTGTTTGGCTGGTTTGGCTGTGGGTCTCTGCATCTGCCCCCATCAGTTGCTGGATAATGTCTCTCTGACAACGACGACTGGGCTAGGTGCTGATCTATGAGTACAGCAAAACATCACTAACAATAATTTCGTTGACTTTTATTTTCTTTTAGCCAGTTGTGTTTGGTTCTATCCTGGGTCTCTGTGCTGGCCTGCTTCTGGTTCCTGGCTATCCAGGCAATGTCAGGCATGGGCTCCCTCTCACGGTGTGGGCCTCAAGTTAGACTAGTCATTGGTTGGCAACTCCATCAAGTTCAGCACATCTTGTAGGCAGAACAGATTGTAGGTTCAAAGGTTTGGTGGCTGGGTTGGTGGCCCAATCCCTCTGCCTGGAGCCTTGTTTGGTTATAGAAGATGGCTGGTTAGGGTGCCGTGTCCCCATGCATAATCCCCTATGTATACCCTGTGACCAGCAGACTTCTCTAGAGTCATTCTCACAGACTCCGGGGAATTTCCACAGCACTAGGTTTCTACAATGCCTCCCAATTCCAGTCGTCTCTCCCACCTCCCCAATCCCTGTACCTGGTTCTTTCTGTTCCCATTCCCACCTGCCCCCGGTCCACCTACAAAACTTATTCTGTTTCTCCTTTCCAGAGAGATCAATGTGTCCCCTTCTTGAGCCCTCCCTGTTACTTAACCTCTCTGGGTCTGTGGATTGTAACATGGCTGTCCTTTTCTTAACAGCTAATATTCACTTATAAGTGAGTACATACTATGTCTTTCTACATCTGGGTTACCTCACTCAGGATGATTTTTTTTTCTAGTTCCATACATTTGCCTGCAAATTTCACAATGCCATTGTTTTTAACAGATGAGTAATACTCTATTGTGTAAATGTATCATATTTTCTTTGTCCATTCTTTGGTTGAGGGACATCTAGGTTGTGTCCAGTTTCTGACTGTTATGAATAAAGCTGCTATGAGCATAGCTGGGCAAATGTCCTTGTGGTAGGATGGAGCATCTTTTGGGTATATGCCCAGGAGTGGTAAAGCTGGGTCTTGAGATAGATAGACTTCTGCTTTTATGAGGAACTACCATGTTGATTTCCATAGTGTCTGTGCAAGTGAAGAAGTGCTCTCCTGGCTCCACATCCTTGGCAGCATGCACTGTCACTTGTTCTTTTGATCTTAGCCATTCTGACAGGTGTAGGATGAAATCTCAAAGTAGTTCTGATTTGCATTTCCCCGCTGGCTAAAGATACTTAACATTTCTTTAAGTGTTTCTCAGGCATTTGAAATTTCTTTATTGAGAATTCTCTGTTTAGATCTGTACCCACCTTTTTATTTTTGATTTTTTTTCTCTTTTAAATTTGTTTATCTTTATTTTATGTGCATTGGTGTTTTGCTAGCATGTAAGTCTATCTGAGAGTGTTGGATCTTGGAGTTACAAACAGTTGTGAGCTGCCATGTGAATGCTGGGATTTGAACCTGAGTCCTCTGGAAGAGCGGTAAATGCCCTTAACAGCTGAGCCACCTCTCCAGCCCCTGTACCCCACCTTTTAATGTTTTGGTTTTAAGTAACAAGTTTCTTGATTTCTTATTATATTTTGGATATTAGCCTTCTGTCAGATGTGGAGTTAGTGAAAATCTTTTCCATTCTGTAGGCTACTGTTTTGTCCTATTGATGGTGTCCTTTGCCTTACAGAAGCTTTTCAGTTTCATGAGGTCCCATTTATTGATTGTTGTTCTTAGTGCCTGTGCTATTGATGTTCTGTTTAGGAAGTTGTCTCCTGTGCCAATGCGTTCAAGGCTCTTTCCCACTTTCTCTTCTGTTAGGTTAAGTGTATCGGGTTTTATGTTGAGGTCTTTGATCCACTTGGACTTGAGTTTTGTGCAGGTGATAAATATAGATCTATTTGCATTCTTTTACATTCTAACATCCAGTTAGACCAGCATCATTTGTTGAAGATGCTTTCTTATTTCCATTGTGTATTTCTGGCTTCTTTATAAGAAAAAAATCAGGTGTCCATTGATTCCATTAACCAACCAATGCTTTTATTCCAATCCCATGCATGCTTTTATTACTATTGCACTGTTGTACAGCTTGAAATCAGGGATGGTGATACCTCCAGAAGTTAGTTTCTTTCTTTCTTTCTTTCTTTCTTTCTTTCTTTCTTTCTTTCTTTCTTTCTTTCTTTCTTTCTTTCTTGTACAGTATTGCTTTAGCGATCCTGTTTTTTTGTTTTGTTTTGTTTTTTTTGTTTTTTTTTTCCACATGAAGTTAAGTATTGTCCTTTCAAGGTGTGTAAAGAATTGTGTTGGAATTTTGATGGGGATTACATTCAATTTGTAGATTGCTTTTGCTAGGATGGCCATTTTTACTATGTTGATCCTACCAATCCATGAGAATGGGAGAACTTTCCATCTTCTGATATCATCTTCAATTTCTTCCTTCTTAGACTTGAAGTTTTTGTCATACAAGTCTTTTGCTTGCTTGGTTAGAGTTACTCCAAAATATTTTATATTATTTGTGGCTATTGTGAAGGTTGTTGTTTTCCTGATTTCTCTCTCAGCCCATTTGCCATTTGTGTATAGGAGGGCTACTGATTCTTTTTTTTTTTTTTTTTTTTTTTAGTTGATTTTGTATCCAGCCACTTTACTAAAGGTGTATATCAACTGTAGGAGTTCTCTGGTAGAGTTTTTGAGTTGCTCATGTATACTATCGTATATGTTAATTTAAATCCAAGCAACTGCAGCCAGGATATGTAGACACAAATCTTCATTGTTTTGGTATGAAATGAGAAGGATAAATCATGGCTGCAGTGACCTTGTTGGGTTGGGGGAGGGCAAGAAAGAAGGGACAGGGAAGGGGTTCTGAGGTGTGCAAGGGGGCTGTTCTCTTTGGCTGGGCTAGCAGAGGGTTAGACCCAGGAGGACAGTGGTATGCCATCCATTGTCACATTTTTCTGCCCAGAGAGGAACAGGCAGGCACTCTGTCCTGAATATGTTGATGACCTTCTACTTAGACGTGAACCCTGCCTCTGGGCACCTTGGGATTTGTAGAAATGGGAAGGTCGGCTCACTGCCCGCCATCTTATTGCCACCACCAAAATGGGCCTGGGGGCAATTAGGAGCATTACATAGTCTTTAAGCCCTGTAGGAGAGGGATCAGGGTCAAAGTCCTGTGGTATTCAATACTCGAGGTAGCACTGGCCTTCCTGATGCCTCACAGAAGCCCTTTGGTTCAGAAGGACCATCAGGAGGCCAATAGAGTAAGGCTGGAAATCCAAGACCCAGTACACATGAGGGCTCATGTTGACTTTGGTCAGCATGGAAATCAGAAATGCCAAGGAGATACATTGACTACAGTGTCACTATCATCTCGAAATGTAAGTCAGGAGACAGCACTGGGGTTCCTGGGGCATGTAAGCAGGCGATCCACCCTGCCTATCATGTGGCAGCTGCCTTGGTTCCTGCTAGGCTCCAGCAGTGATGCAGAACTCCCCTCAGGCCAGACAGCATAGGGGAACTGAATTCCAGTTGTTCACGGCTCTCTCCTTCCAAGGCCGCTGTGAAGGTTGACAGCCAGCCCGTCATGTACCTATGATCATAGAAATTTCATGATCGTGAGACATTTCATACACGGATGTAGACTTCAGCTTGTAGAGTCAACGTCCAGCCATGGAGAGCTGCAGGACCGCACGCAGAGCTTGTGGACCACCCCTGTGCATCCTGATGGCTGCATCTCACACTGGCACCAGGCAGCTGGCAAGGAAGCATGTTTCTGCTTTCCGCTGTTGTCGCATGTGCGTGTATGCATCTAGAGTCACACAGATGTACAGAGGATGGTTTTGATATCTGTTTGTTCTCTCTTCCAGCACTGCTCCCAGCTAGGAGCAGGCAAGTCCAGCTGCTGCCTGGAGGAAGCCAACCCCACTCCTGGAGGCGCAGCACCTACACACACCTCACCTTCGAGCAGCTGAATTCTTGAGGCAGGAGACAGGATCTCTGTGTTGAAGGAGGAGAGCTGAGGAGTGAGAAGAACAGCATTGAGACAGAGAGAACATGTCTGATGTTCTGCAGAGGAGGAAGCAAGAGTCTACTGTCCCAGGACCCAGGGAAGAAGCCTGAACATGGGGGAAACTCAAGACCTTCCCTTCCCTGTCCTGCTGCTTGTCACTCTGAATCTCCTGCTGTCCTCCTTGTGGTGTGGCTTGGGCTGTCCACTCACACTCAGTCCAGGCTTTTCTTCCTCTGCTATTCCTTCCAAGTGCATTCGGGAGACTCTGAAGGAGGAATCCTTTCTACAAAGGTTTGCCTGAATTCAGCCTATCTTACAGTGAGAGTAAAGACGAAAAGGGGCACATATCTGCCCATCCCAAGCCTGGTGCCAAATACAGTCACTTGGGGACACAGAAGTCAGAGCTTCACATGGCGGGAGCGCCAGGGCCAGCAGGTGACAGATCATTTTAGCTGTCTGGAAACACAGACCATCTTTCTCTTTTTCTTTAAGCAAAATTCTAAAATATTTATTTATTTTATGTGTGTGACATTTTACCTGAATCTGTGCATGTACCTCATGTACATGCCTTGTGCCTGCAGAGGTCAGAAGAGGGCACCGGGATCCCTGGAAAAGAAATTAAGGCTGGCTGTTGGCCACCATGTGGGTGCTGGAAACTGAAACTGGTCCTTTGCCAGAGAAACAAGTGTTCTTAACTGCCGAACTATTTACCCAGGGCCCCAGCATTTTCTTTTTTGAAGCTGGGTCTGATGTAGCCCAGGCTGACCTTAAACTCACTATGTAGTTGAGGATAACCTTGAACTTCTGATGCTTCTGTCCTTCCCTCTCAAGTACTGGGATTACAGGCATGTGTTATCACACCCGGCTTATTTAATGCTGGCGATGGAACCCAAGGCTTCAGTCATGCGAGGCAAACAATCTTCCTCTAAGCTACATGCCCAGCTCCCCCAATCAGCTTTGAGACACACTTCGTCTTTGTCTACAGTGGTGGGATCGCAACTGTGAATTATGAATTAATTGGCTCAGGCCTGGGACAAGGAGGCATCTAGATGGCAGCTGATGAGGATGAGGATGGGGTGGGGTGACCTCAGGGAAGACACCAAAGGTCTGGGTCACCCTTCCTGGACAGGTGTTTGCTGCTATCAAGACCATCACACCCACAGAATCTCCAGACACATCCTGCATGGTGCACTTTGGTCCTTGGGGACGATGGAGGGATGTTGCCTAGCAGAGTGGCCCTGTGAACCCAGTGGTTGTTTCTCATTGTGTATTGGGTGGCCCTGATTGCATATTGTGGTGGTGTAGGCCCTGAATGTGACGTTCAGACATGGTAGAACCAGGCAGAAGCCTATTTTTATTTTATTTGTTTCTTGATTCAGGGTCTCACTTGGTATCTCTGGCTGTCCTCGACCCTGCAGTGGTCCTCTCACTTCCGACTCCACAGTGCTGGACTACGGATGTGAACCACCACACCTGGCTGTGTCTCACTACTGGGTTGCCCAGGCTGGTCTTGATCACAATCCACCTGCCTTAGAGCTGTGTGTGATTACAGGTGTGCTCCATCATGCTGCCAAGTAGATCTCAGTCAGACAGCCAGACAGCACGACCCCTTTCTTGCCTACATTTTTACAAAGGTAAATTTTAGGAAATGTAATGTAAACATCTCCACTTTTCACTTCAGAAGGAGAGGAATTGTTAGCTACGTGAACAGTCTTGAGGTGTAGTCTCAGGAGAGTCCCAGGCTCTGAACCTCGACTGCAGAGATGTTTAGAACAAGCAGGCTCACAGCAATGCCCCACAGTGTCACCGAATTCAGAATGGAGAGTATGTTCAGTGACCAGGAAGGTGCTGGCCCCTGAAATGTTCCTGGTGTAAGTGCACCATTTCATCAACAGGGGGCAGCCTGAGGTATACCATTGAAGGCATCGGTGCACAGACTGTGTGACGACTGTATTTCTGCATGTGTGTGTTTAGGCTGATGTGTCTCCTGCTGGTAGTGTGAGTAGGTGGGTGTCTCCTTATGGTTAGAGCTGTCCAGAAACCCAAGTCCTCCTCAAAACTGGCCTGAGGTGTGGCACTTGGGGCTTCTTGGCTACATGATAGGGACTCCTTACATAGCTCCAGGGCCAGAATCTTCTCTTTGATTCTGCGTGGCCCATGTGCCTTGGCTCAGTGTCTGAAACTGTTCAGATAACCAGGAGGCTTTGTGAGCAGGAACCGGGGGGGGGGGCTCATGGAGTTGGGATCGAGGTGTGTATGGCAGAGGACCACAGACCCAGCAGCCCACAAGCTCTCAAGAAAGCTGAGACAGCTTGATGAGTCCTGAGCCTTTCCCTCTGTGCCTTGGGACCCTCACCACTCCAGGTATTGATATAATTCACAGGGAAAGACCCAAAGGTGAGGCCAGGTACACAGACAGCCCCAGGGCTTCTAGGTAGGTATGATAGACAGAGCCAGTTCATCTATTACTCGGTCTGTGTGGCTTCCCCAGTGTTTGAGATAGGACCAGGGAAGGGTACAGAGTGCCAGACTATTATAGGAGACAGTGATCGGGCAGGCGGTACCCAGAAGGGTCAGCTCCCTGGAGCAGAGTCATGGAGCATGCACAGGAGGTGTTCTGCTGGTTCAGGTCCCAGCTCTTGCAAGGTGCAGAGGACACAGGGCTCCTTAACCCTTCCTTGGATAAGAAACTTGAGCAGATGGCAAGGACCTGCAGGCTCCTACATTCAGGGAGTCACAGTTCCCTCCTTCATTTCCCTGGGAAACCTTTTGACCACCCCTCTCCTCTGGTGGCTGATCTCACACTCTCTGCCGGCCTGCCAGGAGCCTTGGCTATGAGCTGCATACCCTGACTCCATATCACATATCCTAAACCCCGGAAATGGTTGTTTGGCTGCCTGTTGGCTCTGTGGTAGCATCCTGGCTTCTGAGGAGAGGCAAGAATGTATGAACCAAGTGTGGGCCGTGTTGGGTTGACCTGTTTGAGAATACACTGAAGTGTGCCCTGATGCTAGGACAGACCCTGTCCTGGGGTGGGATGGACAATGACAGCTGTCCCTGACTCATGTCACTTAAACGCTTTCCCATGAGGACATTTTACAGTTAACATTTAGAAACCACCAGGCCCTCTGAATGTGGAGACTGTCAGATTTACCACCCAGGACTGACCGATGTCACAGGCTGCCTGTCTGTGGAGAGAATGGGATGCCTCAGTTGACTTTCCCAGGGTCTACATTCTGGCCACCTCTTGGCAGGTGGCTCCTTGTTATCAGGAATGGCTGGATCCTGGACACCCCTGAGGGAGTCTGTCAGCAGGGACTCTCTGTGGTTAAGTGTGTTTCTGCCTTCGGGTGGTTCTCTCTGGCCTGCTCAGCTCCCAGGCTTCCTGCTTATCCCTCCCCGTCCCTCTCAGCCTGTCAGCTTATCAGAAACTCTCAGGCTCTGGGTGGAGGCTGTGACATTATCAGCAGACCCTTTGGGTCTCCTGGATGCTTCCCCTCTGATACCAGAGGTGTCAGGTGTCAGGCAGAAGACTCAGACAGCATGAGCCAGGATATAATGGGAATGGGGGCTTGATGGGGACACTGTGCTGTGTCTTGTCTGCTGGCTCCCGGCCTGGGCTTTGTGGTGGGTGGTCTGACTGTAAGACTAGATAAGGCAGCTTGATGGGCCAAGCATTCACAGGGGAGGGAGAGGCCTCGTGGGAAGAGCGAATGTGCAGTGCCTGCTGCTTCCCTCTTGGGCAGGTCTGGAGGGCACCGGCCACATGGGCTTGAGCAGGTTCCTTGAGCAGGGTCCAGAGTGATGCAGAGCCAAGGAGGGGAGAAAACAGCCACCTCTGGAAAATTGGGCAAGAAGGTGCCTGTCTTCCAGCTAGGTCAATGCCTCCTTGTCCCACACAGGACACGTGACTACATCATGGAGAGAAAGAGAGGACATGATGGGACATCTGCCTTTCCCCTTCCTTTGTTATCCCTAGGCTTCCCATGTCTTTAAGGTGTCTTAAGGGCTGCCCATGTGCTCACTGCCCATTGCTGGCCTGGAGGTTTGTGCTGTTGTCTCCACCCAGGAACAGCACCCCACATCACCCTGGAAGCACTGGGACTGAGAAGATCCTTAAGGGATTTGGCACTGGCCTCACTTAGCAGGCAGGAAAACTGCCAGAAAAAGGAGCATTTCTCATTCTCTTTAGGCTTCTTCCCAACACTATGGCCATGACCCCCACTATCACGTTCACCATAATCACTACCACCACCTTCATCATCACCACCACCTTCATTAGCATCACCATCATGTCCACCATCATCACCACCTCCGCCACCACCATCACCTCCACCAACATTACCACCTCCACCATCACCATCACCTCCACCATTACCACCATCACCTCCACCATCACCTTCACCACCATCACCACCACCTCCACCACCATCACCACCTCCACCATCATTACCACCTCCACCACCACCACCACCATCTCCACCATTACCACCATCACCTCCACCATCATCATTATCATCTTTGCCATAAGCACCAATTCTACTATTGTTATCAGCATTGTTAACACCATCATTACCATTATTGCCATCACCACCATCCTGTCATTGGCATCACCACCATCATCTTTGCAAACCCTTCTCCAACACCACAAGGAATGGGCCGTGGCCTTTTCTGTTCCTGCTGCCTGTGGCCTTTTGGTGTCTGAACAGTAAAAAACCAAGCCCAGGGTTGATTCTAGAAGAAATGTCATATCCATCTTACCCTTAACCCTTTATGCTTGTGAGCCTAGCCTTTAACTGCTGAGCCATCTCTCTAGTCTGCCCTTTACTCTTTAATTCCTGGTTCTTTCTGAAACCCCCTATTTATTGTGTAACAAATTCCCACTCTCCACTTCCCCGAGTGTATTTTGACCATAGCAGATACCCTCATGTGTTTTTCTAGTCATAGTGAACAGTGGATCAAAGGCTGGAGGTTGTTTCTCTCTCACTGAGCAGTGGCTGTCATTTCTTTTTCCTTGGTGATGGCCAGGGCTCAGCTATCACTGCTGTATATCCCCAAGACTTTCTGGTCCCCTATTTTGTGCTCCTATTTTGGTGATGCTTTGGGCACTCTGTTTTAAACCTGCTCTGGGTTGTGCTAACTGAGCACCGACTGTTCTGGTAATTTAGGGACAAGCGTCACCCACCTACTCATGTGGACTTGCTGGGTCCTCTGACCCTAGAGTTCTCTGGCAAGAAGGACTGAAGAGACAGTTCCTGCCCTGGTGGTCTCATGTCCAGCAGGGTGGCATACTGATACAATGACCCCAAAGAGGGTAAAGTTGGCACAAGCTGAGACCTTCTTTAGAACTAAGAATAACAGACACAGGTGATGGTGGTATCA